CTCTGTGAAGCCCGAAGTCAGCTAAAGGGCTAGTGATAACCACCAAAACGCCTTCCATTTGATATAAATAAAATTACAAACGCATATACATACGCACAAACATTCATGATAAATTGCATTTTCTGAGAAACGAACAAAAACTGTTGGAAGGGTCAATTGGAAATACCCACGTAGGGATTTGGGTGGGAAAATGTTTCTTTCTCTTTATTTTTGAGAAAGGAATTGTTAATCAAATAACTCGCAGTCATTAAACCTGAAATAATAAAGGGATCAGAATAAGGGTAAAATTTTATTGCTCCATTGAATTTAAAAATAACTATCGATTGATGTGAAATTTTCAATAGTGAGATTATAAAGCTTTCTTTATCCACTATTAACCACCGTCAGGTTTGATTCTTTTCTCAACAATAGCGATAGGAAACACGCTTTTTCCGACGAGTGAAATGGAACAATTGTTGTATAATGTAACTATAAGAAAAGTAACCAACGAATAACATTGAGAGCAAATACTTAAAGATAGCTAAGACGAGATATGTATTAGACTAAATTAACTCCATGATATTTATTCTAAATGGAAAAATTGACTTCAAATGACAGATATGCAGAGATGTAGACTCAAACTAATATAGCCACTTTTAAAGTAAAAGGACCCACTACTGTAGTCTGAATTGGGTTCCAGCACCAATCTCGCTATACGCGCCAGCAAGGGACTCATTTCATTTCCTCGTAGCCAGACCTCAGCCAAATGGCTTCCACGGACATGCAGCTACGAGGAATCCTTTTCTGTTACCCCCTGACTTTATCGAAGCCACTCCCATCACGGAAGCGCAACGCAATGACTCAGACCTTCCCGCGAGAGGAAAGCAATCAAATGCCTTTAAGGTCTCGCAAATGGCTTCAGCAGCAGGGTCCGTTTCCGGGGGGAATATAGTAGAACCATAATGTTAACAGAATAATCACCAAACCCCAACCCACCTCCGCAATTGTTTGAAATAAAAAGTGCAGAGAAAGGAAGCATCATGTTACCAGAACAATACCCAAAGCTGGCCATGATTATAAGGAAAGAGCAATAGATTACTTCTTATTTACCCCCAAACTGATCTTAACTGTCTTATTTTTATAAGTAGTATATGACTCAAATATATAAAACCTGAATGAAAAAGTGCACATTTGAAATATGTGAAGGTTTTTGACGAACGGCAAAAAAACTGGTGTTAAATTACGAAGCAATTAAACGAGGAGAGACATACTGAAATAAAATTGTCGAAAAAAGAAGCTTAGGAAGAATTCATTCATAAATCTCAAAATTGAAAATTTTAGACAAATTTCACCTCTATGCGCATAGTTTAAATGCGCTGATAGTGTGCAAATAGATGAGGTATAGTACACATGTACAGATCCCATTTCATTGGAGCAAAGTTTTAGTCAAGTTGATTGTATTGAAAACTCTAATAATGGAAGCCACGAGGAAAATGGTCATTATCAATTGCATAGTAAAAGACACACAGAGAGAACCGACCTGCCAAGTGAAAGCATCACCCCGTTGCTTTTCAGCTTCCAATTCTCGGGTAGATCGGGGGAAAGCATTTCGCCAAAGGAGAATAAGTCTCGACAAATGTGGACGGACTGTAGTCGACCCGAGAGTCATACAAGCACCCAGTAGATACCAGCCGGCTTGTGTTCTCGCGGTAGTTAAACGACTATTCTGGTTAGCTGCCCGAAGTAGATCCTCCGCCAGTGAGAAAACCTAAAATCACATTCCAAAATTGCGTACTTATAAAAAAATCCATTTGATTCCTTCAAGAGTAATAAATTTTAGCCTACAGCTTTGCCTTTGGAGCAAGGAATGCCCAGATCACTAAGCGAGGCTCCAGCTACGAGTCCGCCGAGAGCAAGACTATATCCAGAGATTGTCTCGGCGGAAATGGGTGTAGGGGAAGCGGATGTGTCACTTAGGGTTGTCATGCATCGATCCATGAGAGGTACTCGTTGACTTGGCAAAGCGATAGCTAATTGACGAAGAGCAGCAGCTGCAGAAACTCGGACACCCAAAGCAGGATGGCAGAGGCAGACATCGAATAGTGTGTCCAAGATTGTGGGCGAGGAGAGGATGGGAGCTGGAAATTGAAAATGGACCATTGACAATCTATACACAAGGAAATTATGTGGGCAGTTCGTGGAGGTTATGTCCCTAGTTAATTAAGCGAAAGTCAATTTAGACACATTGCAAGATTAACGGAAGAGGATCGATCAACTAATTGAGTGCAGTGGCTGTCTAAAATCTAAACCTAAACAACTACGAGATCAGAGTGGCTAGATAATGGAAGATCGAAATTTAAGGCATCAAATCTTGAAACCCCAGTAGCGCGAGCCCCATAATCACATCAGAATGAGTTTTTCATGATGTCGGGGGTGAAAATAAGCCTCCCAAAAAACTCCTACATTTTTTAAAGGATTCAAACCTTTATTGAATAATTAGACCAATAGTATCATCAGCATTGGCTGCACTAATCTAACTGTTGGTGATCGTCCTTTGACAACCGAGGGATCATTCAAATTCTTCGACAATTGAACCTAAACATGACGCCAACAACAACCATTGGCAACTATAATGAAGTTTGTCAATAAGGATTACGCCCATGGCTTCCGCGCTAAAGGGAAATTGAACAGTCCAAATTGGAGTCCTATTCAATCTATAAACTTTTGTTTCTTAACTTCAGCTCAATCGATACCTAGGTGGTGCTTCCTGGTCCCCGATATCGAGATATCCAGTCTTGAAAGATGCCTACCCAGTGTATTTGTTATATTGCTCCAATAAATAGTTTTAATTAAAAGTAACAACATCTTGTGAGTGACTGAATTCCACTTTACTTGTCTTCAAGTCTGATTCAACGGTAGCCAAGTGGTCATAGTGGGCGGGAACTGGCCTCCCTATCACTACAAAGGCGCAGAAATGTATGCAAAATGCAGTTTCAACACATTTCGGTTCCCTTTAGTAATATGAATAATACTAGGAAGTACTTACCAACAGTTGAATCTAGCCACCTAATCACTTCTGTCAGAACATCCAAACAGCAGACAAGGTAGTTAGGATCATCTGAAATCACACCAGGACTAGAGCTTCCAACAGTACTTTCATCATTTTGCTGATTTCCTGTGGATTGGCTAGCATCGGAAAGCTGTCCAGCAGAACTGACAGACCTCAGCCCCCTCCCAAGGCCGCTCAACTGAGATCTCAGACCAGAGCTGGACTGTTTTCCCTTGCGCTGCTGACGCATTAAAATGAGATTCAAAAGGTGTGGAATCACGGCGATTTGGGCGGCTTCAGAAAAATGTCGACGAAGGAGACAAGGTAGGAGGTGACCTCCGACACAAAGTCGTGTGAAAGCTGCTTCGCTGGGAGTGATGGATGACGCTGAGGCTGTGGACAGAGCGTTGCGTGGAGGAGGGATAAGAAGGGAAAGACAATGGGTGATGACAGTTTGACTATGCGTCACTAGCCATTCGGAACCCATTCGGTTGAAAAATTCTATGTAGGCCTAAAGGGTTAGGGTTCAAGAGTTAAAGATTCTTAGTCAGAGAACATTAAGAATGAGTGCTGGAACAGTAATAATGATATGGGAACTTACATAATTAATACCGGCGCGAATTTCACGACTAACACCGCTAGTACTCTTGTGAAAGCGACCAGGACCACGAATAAATGCAGAGGAGAGCAGAGCGAAGACATCATCCAAACTAATAGGCTTATTGCGACTTCCAGACGTGATCTGATCTGGAAAAAAAATCAACCTACAGTGACAACGATTTGGGATGCGGAACAGGTGCTCAGCACTTAAACCATAACGTAAATCATCAAGCACGATGCTACTGAAGAATTGGAAGTAGAGGCGAAAGCGAAGAATCTCGCACACAAAGGTCAGTTGAAAAATTTGAACCTCCGACATACTCAACGGCTGTTATAGTCAACTTTAGGAGTTATTCGATCCTGCATTCCATACTGCCTAATATAGAATAATGTCATGTGTAGATAGTTGAATACAAACTATAAAGCCATGATCGAGTATTAAATGTCTAAACTCTCATAATTAGCTTATTTTAAGTAAAAAAGTCAAATACCATGACAAAATAATATCGAGAAAATGTTTGACAAAGCGTGAGGAATTTAACCACTGACTAAGTATATCCCACTCAAGTAGGGTAGAATTCAATTAAAAAGAGAGGCAAGAGTGATGTGATGTGTGAGAATCACGTGCCAAAAGAGTAATGAGCATCCCAGGGGGGAAACATGTCTGGGAGATGAACAGAACCTGAAAAACACACCAACAACTAGGCATCTCAGTAAATACCAACTTTGTTCGCCAAGCCCGGCCCCGGCTTAAACACCACACCCAGGAAAAAAAATGTTGAGCATTCCCCTGGACAAAATGGCCACTTCTTCAACTTCTCCAACTTACTATTCCAGCGAACATTAATAACTTCCCTTTCAGCAAACTATCAACGAAAATGCCAAAGTTGGAATATCGGTTAAAGAAAGGAAAGAATTAACTTCGAATTATTCACATGCATTCCAGTTCTACAAATTTATTGAAATGACAAGTAAACGCTTTTTAATGATATATCTGCAATTATTTTCCTTTTAACAACGAGAAATCGTGTTGAAATGGTAAAGAAGTATTCAATGAATTCGTCAAAATTAACTTCAATTAAGGGCATACAGGATCATGAATTGGCCAAGAGATAATCAGCGATAAATAAGTTGTTTGAGGTCTTCAACAGATTGAAATGTAAGAAATCGAAGTGGATTTTGAAATATCTTATCAATATCACCTCCAAAATATGCCTCAATTAGACCCGGGAAAATAATGCCATCAATAGTTACGGAATAAATACAGCTGATAACTCCTTCAAGTAGAGCATTAAAAGAAGACAGATTAAAAAATATATATATATCCCATATTGGAGGTTAGACAACAGTCCAATAAAAAAACTTGAACCATTTCAAGGCCACGAAAAGAAGAAATGACAATAAGTCGACTTAGAGGGAAAGTGGTTCGAAAAAGGGACGAAAAAACTTGATTCCCAAACCATTTATTAAAAAGTGCGCCAAAACTCATGCAAGAATAGTGGAATCCAAATGCGAAATATCAGTATTTGCACGACTGCAGAGAATAAAACGAGGATTTCGCGAAACTATATTAATTAAATTAATTGCGAGGTGTGCAATAGACTTGCCCCCACGTGGTGCGCCCTGGCCAACGTATACTCAAACGCCAAAAGTCTAAAAACCGGCAGTTGACTTTTTGACTTCAAACTACCATGACCCGATTGTATGTCACATTCCACCACTTCCACAGTAATCACCTCACTTTACCTTTTTCTCTACCTTTACATCTGCCTCTCTTACATCCGTGAATCACTCTTCTGTTACTCCCACCCCTGTCTCGACCTTTGGTGACTTTGATGTTCCTCCACCTCTCTGTGAAGCTCAAAATTAACTAAAAGGCTAATGATAACTATCAAAATGCCTGCCATT